CCCCCCCCCCGCCGCAGACAGGCCCAGAGCCACATGGGGACAGGGTGTGCTGCAAAAGGGGGGGTGCTGGGGTGGGGTTTCAGCCAATGACTATACAGGAAAATTTTCCACTCGCAGCACACTTGCCTTGGAGATAGCGAAACTGACTGCTATGTTTCATCACTACTGGCTCTAAGAGGATTAGCTGATAAAGACCCTGAACTCTGAGTGACCCCAGGAAGTTTTGATGGACCGAACTGAAGACACTTCCCTGACCAACAAACCATAGGCTTGTCTTAACCAACTGTCCTACCCAGAGTGTTAGTTTTCCATGTGTACTTAGCATAACCACCATGAACTCCCTTTCTAGCACTTAGAACGCCTCTATTTCTACACAGTGTGTGTGTGTCTCCCCTTGCCTGGCAAATTAACAGACTGGGCTGTGTCATTTTTTTTAGAGTGGAACCTTCAGAGTCCTGGTCCCCACCCTGGAATTCTCCATCCTGTAAGCCACCGGCCCAGGGCAGCAGCCCACACTTGGCTCACAGTAGACAAGGGCAGGTGGGCCTGCCTCCTCCACCCTCTCTCTTACCTGGGCTGTTGCCAGCCAGGCCACTCTCCATCCCTGGAGGCCTCCCAGGGTATCAGCACAGACTGGGTCCGGGCCCTGTCATCTGTGGATGAGATGGGAGTAACAGAAAGAGAATTGGCCTGTGGGACAAGGACAAAAACTGGGTTTCCCAGACCCCCTCCCATCTCATAGAACACACTCTTTCTCAAAGAACTTTTCTATCCATGACCTTGGTTGAAATGTGGGGGGGGGGTTTAATTGCACATGTACCTGCCAGCAGGTAAAATAGGCATAATTCCCATTTTACAAAGAGGACACTGAAGCCAGAGAGAGCCCCTCTGTGATCATGCTGCTACGTGGATGCCCCAGACTTCTGCCTGGCTGTCCCCTCTGCCCCCAGATCTCTGCCTGGCTCGCCCGTTTCTTCCAGCTTTTTGCTGAAATGTCACCTTCTCAGTGTGGCCTTCCCTGGCACCTCTGCACACAGTCACAAGCCAAACTCCGCCTCACATTTCCTAACACTTTTCACCACATGACACGATCTTTACTTGTCTGTTTATTCACCACCACCACGGGGACATGAACTTTTCATGCTCACTGTTGAATCCCAGTGCTGGGAACAGAACCCGGTGAAAGAAGGCACTTAACACGCATGGCATAAACATGCTGCTCAGCTTGGAACTCAGAGACAGGGCTGCAGGCTCATTTCATCTGCCCTGGTGGTGTGGGATGTCTCTCCTAGGGTTTCGCCCACCTGTACCCCCTCAGCATGGCAGGGACTTGTGGCTGGCTGCCCCATGGAGATGAGGTTTTCCAAGCTTCAGTCAGTGCTTGCTTCTGGGCAACTCGGCTCAGTGACCCCTGCCAGGAACCCACCCTAGGCTCTGGGAGCCTTGCGCAGACCCAGGCCCCTTCCAGAGTCCACTCTGCAGGCATTACCCAGACTGGGAAACTGGACCCTGATAGGAGGGGTGGGTGGGGGTGTAAAGGTAGATACAAATCTAAAAAAAGAAAAAATCATTTCCCCTGGTGCAAAGAAAGAGACATGCCCCCCTTTTTTCAGAGCATTTTTAGAACCTTCTAATTGTAAGTTCTGTCTCTTCTTTTTCAGATGTGTATGTAAGTCTTTTTAAAAGTTAAATAAGCCTTTTGCCAGAGTTACAACACAGGAATATCTTTTGCAAGAACTTGGGAGCCATGTCTTTGAAATGTAAGTGCCAAGGAAGACAGGGCCTCTACCTCCAGTCTCCAGGGTAGAGTAGGAGCCTAACATCAGTGTGTACCTGGCTCCAAGCTGCAAACCTACCTCCTGTTATAAAAACATGAGGCTTATTTTTCCCTTGGATAAAAGCAACGAGCTAACACAGATGGTCACCTCAATTACCAGATGAATTTAGGATGAACCACGTGTGACAAAGGGTGCAACTGAGTCCTCTTACTTGAGGACTGGCTATGGTTTATCCTGAGAACTTGTATGCACCGGTTGCGTCTGCCTGGCTATGTGGGGCCTCTGTCTTTGACATCTCTTAGAGGATTGCTTGTGATATGCATCAAAGTCTGGTTTAATGCGTATTCAATTTTAAAGAACTGTTTTCTTTCTCTTTTACTTTCGTGGAGCACTGTTCTGGGTTGGCAGGAGATTTTATTTTTCATTATTTCCGCAGCAGGAGTCTATTAAGCACCCCTACTGTGATTTCTTAGAGACATTAAGACCTGCTGTGGTGCAGGAACAAGGTGGGAGGAGAGAAGAGGCAGGGAAAGGCACCGTGAGGGCCAGATGGACAGACAGACAGGGCTGGCTGCTCCTCCATCTCGCACAGCCCGCTCCCTCCCAGGCTGCTCTGTGTAGGCTTCTGCTTCCACACCTCGGGGAAATCTCTCACCAACTCCACTTACGTCCACCTAAGGAGGCTCGGAGGCCTTGCAGACAGAGAAACCGCCTCGACATGGGGACACTCAGACTGAGGGGCTCAGAGCCCGGGCCGAGTTCAGAGTGAGGACAGAGGGATGGGACGGTCTATACAACACAACTAAAGGCCCCTGAGCCAAAGCAAAGATAGTCCTACTTTATCCATTCTGCCTTCCAAGAGGTGTGAGGGACTATACGTTGTCCCAGGTGGCATAAGGGCTTCAACTCTTGGTGACCTGCCCAGAGCTGCTCCTCCCTCATGCCTAGGTACCTCTGTCCCGGGCCACAGCAGGGCTCAAGCAAAAGCAGCCTTGTGGTTTATGTAAGAACAAAAGCAGAAACAGAAGGAAGGGGACCCTCGTGGACCCAAGGGGAAGAGGTGAAGGGGGGAGACACAGAGGACAGGAATGGGGGAAGGGAGGCCATGTCTTTGGGGACCACGGGCTCGGGTGGGATGTCTGGAAAACAGCACAGCAAGTGTCCTGCAGGCAAAAAACCCCAGGAATGCCAAGCCAAGGGAAGTCCCTCTATGTGGACATTTTCCAAATCATCCATGCCAACATGCACCCCCACGCCAAGCTTCTCCCTTGTTCTGCCTCTTGCTCTGCTATGCCACATGGCCTGCCCCTCCTTACCTCACCACCTGACATGTCCCCCAGCCAACTGGATGCCCCAAACTAGGCAAGTATGCTGCCCAGCAAAACACCCAGCCAGAAAGCAGGAGTTTACAGGTGGATTTGCCACCCCTCAGCACCCACAGCGGGTCTCTGGAGGCCCGTGGTCCACCTCGCAGGGCCCCGACCAGTCTCTGACCCCCTTCCCCCTTTACTGCCCAGCAAGTTCTGTGGAGAGCAGGACACGCACAAGGGCTGAGTCTCAGAACAAGGCCCTGGTCACCGCCACCTTCCCACCGCCTGGCCCTAGGTCCGGCCCTCCCCACACTAGGCCAGGATAAGAGCCCCTCATGGGAGGGCTGCAGCCTGGCCCAGCTGCCGTGACAACTGCCGGACCACACAAAGACGGGATTGTGGCCCAGGCAGGTGGTGAGTTCTGGGGCCAGGGGAGGTAACAAAGGAGCTTTGGTTTCAGCAGAGACTCAGGGGCAGGGGGAGGGCAGGCAGCAGCCGGGCTGCGGAGAAAGGCCACAGGCCAGGTAGAGGCAGCTCAGTGCCCAGGGCTCCCCATGTGCCACCACATCCCAGGCACCTGGAACTTTCCCACCAGCGGGCTCGGCTCCCTTCAAACCCAGGGCCCCAGGTAGGGAAGTGAGAAGTGAATGGCACCTCACGAATCCTTTGTCACCAGTGGAGCAGAGACCGCCACATGCCTTCCACCAGGAGTGGGGGCTTTCTCGGGGGGCAGCTCCCCAAACCCCAGCCAAAGGCCCAGTGCCAGGCCCTTCCCAGCCAGGAAGCTCCACCAGGTCTGCACCCGGCCAGACACTGCCCACATACACCATCCACCCCTTTCCCTCCCAGGAGACCCTCGGCAGGGGACGGCTTTCCCAGCCCCCTCCCACGTCAAGCCGATGCCCCCCTACCCTTGCTTCACATATGTCCTACACCCTCCTGTCCTCCACATCCCTGCTTCACCTTCTGGGTCCACAGAGCATCCCCACCCACCCCTCATAGGCCCTTGCCTGATTGGTTGTCTCCCGTGGCTCTGCTCTCCCTGCACAACCCACCCCTCAGGTTAGCCCCCAGGGAACAGGGGCCAGCTGCCAAGTGAGCTCTTACATCGCTCTCTGGGGCAGAGGCTGTGCATCTCCCACACCCTCATTTACAGAGGGGGGGCTTCCCTGAAGCTCTTGATATTGATATGACTATGGAAAGAGGGGGTGGTCAACCAAGACTCCAAAAGGGATGGGAGAGTGCCACCACCTCTAAGCGCGGAGCAAGCATCACCCACATCATTCTTCAGCCAAGAAAAGTATGGCTCAGAAAAGTCCAGTCATTCGCTCAAAGTCACACAGCTAGTAAGTGCTAGAGCCTGGATCCAACCAGGATTCTCTTTTTCCTGGACTATGTCACCTTCTAAGAGAAGGTGTGTGATTACTCAGGAGGCACCTACAGCCGAGTCAACCTTAAACTGCAGTCTTCATTTTCAGGAGTTTGGATTCTATACTCACATATGGTTATTTAAATTTAAATAAATTAAAAATTCAGTTTTTCAATCACACTGGCCACATTTAAGTGCTTATGTGTGGCTAGTGCTACTGTTAAGCTCCTGAAGAAGGCAGGGACCTTGGCCTGTCCAGCCCCTGATATGCAGAAGGTGCTCAATATATACAAGGGTACTTCAAAAAGTTCATGGAAAGATTCTTATTATCTTTCAATTCCATTTTCCCACAAACTTTCTGCAGTACCCACATACTGAATGAATGAATGAAATGGAGGACTCTGAAGAGGTGGCTCCTCTGGCCCAGTTTTTTGTCACTAACAACAAATCCCTCAGGTTGAGCCAATGTTGTCCTCTGCCTGGGAAACCCATTTCAGCTAATAGCAGTGGATGTTTTCATTTTAAATATATAATTATAGGCACACATGAAACTGGTACAAACACTAAATACACACACACAAACACACCCAGACACAATCATCTCTAAACACAGCTAAGTAAACAAAAGTTCAAAGATGCAAAATTACAGAGATACTCGGATGAGAACACCTTCAAAACTGCATATGCAAATACAGAGAAAGTGAGATATTTTTAAAAACTCACAGGCACACCTACAGATCCAGACACAACTGTGCCAGCATGAACCATGTCAGCACAAATCACTACAGAAATCACTACAGCACACTCTTGAAGACAAAAATGCAACTCCATTCCTCCCACAAGTGTCCTTGCACATTCATGGCCACCCCAACCCGCCCACTTGCTCCCAGGAACAAAACTCATGGAGGCAGGAATGGAAGCAATGCATCCCAGTATGTCACGAGCAGTCACCTGCTGGGTTACCTGTGCTGGGGAAGGGCCGCACAGGCTAGCCGGAGCTACAGCTGGCTGGGGAGAAGCTGGAGTGGAACAGAAAGCCCTAGAAAGACAACTAGGCTGTGTCCTGCAGGCCCAGTAAGGCATGAGACCCTCGCGGGGTCTGGTCCACTGGGAGGTAGCATGCCCTTCCCCCCTCAGCCAGCTTT